GCCCAAACTGCCAAGCGCAAGTTAACAACTTATTTATTCTATTTTTTTAATTTGGCCAAACTTTCACACAAATTCATTAAGACTAACAATATATATTAACAACAACCATTTGTTAGCTACAACACTTCAAATGGAACGTAAAATTCTTCAAATTCTGATTTAAATCAGAAACAGAAAATATGCGAATCATGCAGACGATTGTGACTGACTGCGCAATGCTCTGTCGAGAATTTAAAGTCAATGCTGGTATATGAGAAAGAAAATTTAATAATGGTATTCAGTAACAGCATAGATAACTATATAGTGTGCAATACCTGCTTTAAGTATTTTAAAAGTCTCTCTCAATTCTCTCTTCTCTATAAAATTGACAGATGAAAAATTCTTCTAGGGCTTACCTAAAGCTCAGCTTTATCTTATATCCAGCATATTCCTCTCTACATAAGCATACATATTTTATTATTCCTTTTTGTTTTTAGCTTAACAGCAACTGTCTGGACTTTTTTTGCTTGGCAGTAGGTAGAACTCATTAAAAATGTTGACGGCAGAAAACAAATGGAATTACAAACCCACGCAGTGAGAGTCTCGTTTGAGCATAGCAAGGTGAGAGAGCGGAGCGTGCCCCGAGTTATAAATGGTTACTGGCTGCTGTGCTTGAAGCTGTCAAAGATTCTATTTGCCCACCTTTGGCGCATGCAGGCCCCAGCGACTGGGCAGGAAATTAAAAACACGACTGAAAGCATCATTTACTTGACCGACTGCTGGCAGCGGGCAGGAGTCAGTGGCTAGAGCCAAGGCTGCTGTTGGGATATTGGTGACAGTCGGAAGCCTGGCAAAAAGGAAAATTGATATACAAATGGGTTAACAGTGCAAGGCTATCGAGTTGTTGGCTCGCCAGCTATCCGGCGTATTGCAAACAGCAAATGGAAAAAAAGAGAAGTATACGGATTTATGGGGAAAAAGCACGGGATGCAAATGGATGAACCCAAGAGCACAAGATCAAAGGTTGAAATGCTTCATAAACAGCGAACAGCGTGAACTTTTCAACACACACACACACACACACACAGAAAGACACACGATACATAAAACACACATTACGCATACGCCATGTGCGACTAATTGCCCTCGCTGAGCTCTTCTGTTAGCATATCGCGCATATATATTCGTTCAGCTGATTGAGCTGTGTGATTTAAATAAGAACGATGTCATTAGCCCGTGTTCAGCATGACAGCCTGATTAGTTATTTATATGCTCACATTCGCATTAGCAGTGCGGCCAGCCATTAATCGTTAAATGGATTAGACGCCTCCACCCTCCCAGCATTGTTTTCTTGTGCGAGAGCAATCTGCGGGCACAGTTACCGCTTGCAGCTGTTGCAGGTTAAAGCTGAGATTACACAGTGTACATATACATATATATATATATATATATATAATACTTACACTTACCTAACTCTAATGGGTTTTGACTATCAACTTTTCAGTCAGCACTCTGGCAATATTTAGCTCGGCTTTAAAGTTTCTCTCAATTAGAATTCCCCAAATGTCGATAAATGCTTTTGGTTTAGTGTTTTTATTATACTGAGGCTAACCAGATCATTTGCCATCCAGCTGTGATTAGCGTACTGCACTTTCGCATTGTTATTGCGGCTGTTGGTGGTTGCGGCTCACGTGGTTTCGGTCCTCGCTGTGGCTGTGGCTGTTTCGCGGCCAACACTCAATTCAAACAGCGCCAGTTGTTGGCTAATCAGCACTGGGATGTCATCAATCAGTCAGCAAATGGGAACACGCAAAACCAATCTTACGGCCGTGCAGTGTGGAGTGCTAGTCTCGGCAATGATCCAGTGCTGCACACAGAGCTAACTAGCAGCGACGAGGGTGTCCAACTAAGGGAGTTGCTCTTAGCCAGCTGGCGCTTGGCTCTGCCTTCGACGTCTGCATGCAAAGTGCATTTAAATAGAATCAATTTAAAATAACAAAATATAAATCCAAATGGTGATAAAAGCAAATATGAAATTCGTATAGCTCTATGCCGTCGTTTAGGGTTAGATATTTTTCGGCAATGATTATTATTATTTGTTTTTTTTTTTCTTTTTAGTAGTCACATTCCCCCGTCTTTATTTCTGTGAATGGTTCGTTTTGAAAATGATGATGAATATAAGCTGCAAAGAGTGTGTAAAATATTACATTATATTATTAAAAAATATATATTAGTAGTAGTATATATTAGTACAGTATTAAAGTAATTTAAATTTAATTTAGAAATTCTGTAAGCAATTGCATATTTTCATAAATTTATTATATTCATTTAGCTTAAAAATTTCAAAATGATTTCCAAACTTCAAGACTTGTTTTAAAAGCTACTAAATAAATTGATTTAGCAAAATGAGTGATAAATAATACGAAAAAGTAATAAAAAGGTAGATAATCGTTAGAAAAAAGAAGAATAATTAGACTTAATATTAAGATTAAACAATAATGATTGTTGGACTGATACTTATAACAAATAATATAAATAAAAAATTATGTATATTTTTTTGCTATTAAATATTAACTATTAACTAAGACCATCGGTCGAAAAGACCTCTCGAGTGGTTAGTATTAAACCTAACATAGGCATATTCTAATACCCATGGCGTTACACTACTTTCTACTTTCTACATATCTTTTTCTCATTCTCACCAGCAGCCAGCCCAGTCGATATTAAGATAAGCGGCCCCAGTAGCATGCGTACCCAGCTGCAGCGTTTCCTAAGGCCCGCCATGGTCACTTCCTTGAGCTGGGCCATGTAGTCCGTGTTGATGGGTCGCAGGTCCCAGATGAGCTTTTGGATATCGTTTTGAAAAATGGCATCCACCTCATGTTGTGGTATACATATGGGCTCGGGGTTCAGTTCGATGGGCACACGCACATTGTGGATCTTGGAGCGACGCACTTGCTTGAATATGCACAGAATTGTTTGGTTATTCAGGTAATCAGTGGGCGGCGCTCGAATGCACTGGATGCAGACGCGATGGCTATATTCCTTATGCGGCTCGAACTCAAAGTTATGCAGGCTGATGCAGACCTCGCTGATGTCGTATGGCTCGATGAAGCCACAGTTCGGCATGGCATTGTATTGCCATGGCGCATTCGTCAGTACCTTGAAGAGCAGCCGCTCCTCGGTTGGATTCAATAGAGTGATCAAACGTCTCTGCACGCGATTGTACGGTGCATAGAAGATCATGTTCTTGGGACTAACACAAAAAAGATCAGAGTTCGATTTTTGCGCCATTTTCACACGATTTTATATGACCACCAAAAACTTTTGCATAACGAAAACTGATTTTACTATCGCTCTCTGAGCTGACTACATGCTTACTGCTCTTAATTAAGTTATTAAAATGTGCCAGCCAGCATTTTCATTGACAGTAATTTCTAGGTAAAATTTGTTATTATTAGTTTGGCATTCAGCAGTCAAACGGACCTCAAAATAATCTGAAATGCAAATGAATTTTCAATATATTGAATATATAAAACAAATTCCATTAGAAGAAATTCTGTTTTACTTTTACTTTCCCTCCATCTCTTTAGTTACCTCAAAGCCCTTTTCTTAAATTGCCCAATAAATTTTATATGACAAAAACAAAGCTAAAATATTTCTATCATTTTAATAAGTAAATAATATATATATTTTGGAGCATTTGATTTGAATATAGTCTGTTATTAGACTTGAATTTAATTTGATTTTGCATAAATGCAAACTATTCTTGTTTTATTTGTTTGTTCAATTGTTTGCTTTAAGCTTGTCAAAATGATTATTTGATGCATTTCACAGCCACTAATTTTGCTCTTATGGATTTTGAGGCCTTGCTAATCAGAGTTTACCTGACACAGGGATCAATTTTACTCAAGTATTCAGCTCATTAAGTCCATGGCTTTGTAGCTTTAGTGTCTTTGTCTTGATGTCACATGAAATTAAATTAAACCAAATAATCTACATAGCTTAA